GCGGCGGTCCAGTGCGCTCCTTGCGGTGCTGTCACCGCGGTCTAGGGTTCTCGCGGCGTATCGTTGCGTGTCAGGCATTCCCCTCGCCTTCTCATAGCGCATCGCGCTTTACGCGCCTCCACTCAACGGTGTACGTGCCGCTCACGTACTGGTCCCTCAATCAACATATTTTTGGTCCCTCGGGCCGGATACACCTCTTCTAGGTTTTTTTGAGCTAGTCCTGTGTTTGCATTACAAAAATGACTAGTACTTCTAGAGACCACACATCGGACGTCTCCGAACCGCCCGCTTTAGTGAACAAGCGAAGCGTCCTCGTGAAACGAGTCAGGTCCATCCGCGACACTTTTAGAGACTCTCTGACTACGGAAAACTGCGAATGCTTCAGACCCTCCTACAAGAAACTATCGACCTACCAGGATAGATTTGATGAGCTACAGGATAGGGCCATAGAGCTGAACATCTCCGAGCCGACTAGTAGAATCGATATCGACACCATCCAAGCCGAATTCGATCGCCTCGTACGGGAGGCCGAAGTGCTCTTTCTCTCAAAGGCACGCACTCATGACTCCAGCCTGTCTCCGCACAGTTCGTTTTCGCACAATCCGGTCTGATTGCCCAAGATTCAGCTCCTCACCTACGACGGAAAGATTGAATCATGGCGCGCATGGTACAATCTGTTTAAAGTGACTGTCCACAACAGTCCATCACTAACCGCCACCGAGAAATTCCAGTACCTGCTTAGCAGCCTGAAAGGCGAGGCTCTCGCGGTGGTACGGAACTTGTCCATTGACGAAGCCAGCTACACCGTAGCATGGGATCTTCTCAAGAAACGCTATCATTCTGACCGACGATTGATCACGCACCACTTCAACCAGCTGTTAGATCTCCCTGAGATAAAGAACAGCACCCAAGCATCTCTGCTTCTCGACCAACTCCGTGAGAACTCTCAGGCCTTAGAGGCCCTCGATCACCCTCTGAGCTCCTACGACGGACTGATTACCGCCGTCATACTGCGTAAACTCGGCCCAGGACTCAAGAGGCGTTTAGACGACTTTCGCGCGGCTCCCTCCGAGTACCCGAAGGTCAACGAGATTGTGTCCTTCTTAGAGTCCGAAAGTCTGAGCAATGATGGCACCTCGGCTAGCAAGAACGACTCTAAGGCCCTGCTCGCCACCAGAGCGGCCTCTCCCCAGCAGTCCGCCGTTCACGCGGCATCCTCCGCTGGGAGAACAGCTCCGTCCTCCGATAGGACGCGAGACTCCGCATCGTGCCCCTGCTGCACAGGACAGCGGCATGAGCTACATGCCTGTCCCGGGTTTCGTGCAAAAACCCTTCCTGAACGACGTGAGCTCGTCCGCGCTCACAAAAGATGCTTCAATTGCCTTCGTCCCCACCAAAAACGGGACTGCTCTACACAGAGCCGATGCCGTCAATGCCAGGCCAAGCATCACACATTGCTTCATGATACCGCAAATGCTACCCACGGGACTTCCAAATCAGTCCCAGAGGAAAAGACGGTCTTGCTGGGCACTTGCAACCAAAAGACCACGGTTATGCTCCCTACCATGCAACTGCGAGTGAAGGGTCCGAACGGCTCAATCCGAGCACGAGGCCTACTCGATTCGGGAGCTATGACTACCATCCTCACCAATAAGTGTGCGGATGCGATAGGCGTGACACGCCGTCCTGGAACCAGTCACATTGAAGGAATCGACGGCATGCGCGGTAGCACTTGCGCTGAAGCAGTAGTCACTCTGACATCTCCGAGTCACCAGGTGATTAGCAAGAATCACACGGTGTTGTTGGTCGACTCTATCACCACTAACGTACCACCCGTACCCATCTCAACCGCCGTTAGGCGCCGACTGGCTGATCTCCCTCTTGCCGACCCCGACTTCGATCGCCCAGGTCCTATCGACATTTTGATTGGGGCAGATCTTTACGCCAGGATTGTTACCGGACCCGCGACCTCTCTAGGTCCTTCTATGCCATCAGCTTTTGAGACAAATGGCTATGGCTACATCATCTTAGGTGCCGCTCCTTCCCAGACGGCTACCCTTGCTGCGCTCACCACCGGGACTGATGAGCCAGTATCCGAAGTGCACAAGACCATCCAAAGGTTTTGGCAGCTTGAAGAAGTTCGACCCCCGAATATCGAGCCCACTCCTGAGGACCCGGCAGAACTTCTTTTTCAGCAGACTACACGACGCGACGCGTCCGGTCGCTTCTATGTACGGCTTCCTTTTGCCCGCTCCCCTGACGCCCTGGGCAATTCTCGCGATCAGGCTTTGCAGCGTTTCAGGGCTCTGGAACGAAGATTCCGGTCTGATCCAAATCACCGTGACCTCTACGTCAAGTTCATGGAGCAATACGAAGCTGACGGCTTCATGAGTCCAGCTCCTCCGGACGCACTCATCAACCCGCACTACTTCTTGCCACATCATGGCGTGGTAAAGGAGACGAGCTCAACTACGAAGCTCAGACCTGTCTTTGACGGCAGCGCGAAAACCACAACGGGCATATCGCTGAACGATATACTCTACCCCGGGCCATCGTTGACCCAGGACATTAGAGACATTCTCATACACTTTCGAGTTCATCGTACGACATTTGGCTGCGACGTCCGCCAAATGTACTTGCAGGTCTTCCTCGAACCTCAAGACAGATGTTGGCAGCTCATCTACTGGCGCCCCAGTGAAGATGCCCCGTTAAAGATTTACCAGCTCAACACGGTCACCTTTGGCATTACTTGCTCCGCTTTCCTCTCGATGAGAGTGCTCAAACAGCTTGCGATAGAATACGCCGAGGAGTACCCGCTAGCGGCTAGGGCCATCTTGGAGGCCAGTTATGTCGACAATATCGCCACTGGAGGACGCGACCTCGAAGAAGCTAGACTGATTAGAGACCAGCTCATCGCACTTCTTAAAAGAGGTAACTTCTTTCTGCGAAAATGGATGAGCAACGACCCAGGTCTTCTGAGCGACCTCCCGGCTGATCTTCTTGAAACCCCAGTGACCTGGGAGGGCCAAGCACCATCGTACTCAGTGATGGGCCTACAATGGCTTCCCAGTCCTGACGTATTCACCTATCGCATACAGCCCCACTCGAAGCCTACCACAAAGCGAGGAGTCCTGTCTGTCATCGCCTCAATCTTCGACCCACTCGGGTTTCTTAGCCCCGTGGTGTTCTTCTGCAAGTGTATTATGCAGCAACTGTGGCTCTTGCAGCTAGGGTGGGACGACCCTCTCCCGGAAGACATCTCCACGCGCTGGGCTGGATTTCTCGAACTCCTCAAATCTCTGAGTAATGTAAAGATTCAGCGTTACGTCTGCGACGTAGACATTCCCATCCAGCTCCACGGTTTTTGCGATGCATCGGAATTGGGCTATGCTGCCTGCATCTACATAAGACCAGATCGACCATCGGGCATGCCTCATCTTTATGTCGCGAAAACTAAAGTAGCACCCCTGAGTAAAATAACTCTGCCACGTTTGGAACTATCAGGTGCCCACCTGCTAACCAATCTCATGACTTATATCGTCGCCAGGTTGCAAAAATACTACCACATCTCCAGTCTCCATGCCTGGACCGATTCGACCACAGTTTTACAATGGATCCAGACTCCTCCGCACCGGTTAAAGACCTTCGTGGCCAACCGGGTTGCCTTCATCCAACAAGAGATTCCAACAATGACTTGGCACCACGTACCCAGCCGTGACAACCCTGCAGACCCCGCTTCGCGTGGGATCTCGCCAGCGCAACTCGTAAGTTACAGCCTGTGGTGGCACGGCCCGCCGTGGCTCCAGGAAAACTCAGACGAATGGCCGTCGCTGCCCCTTCCACTCCCGCAAGAGCCGATACCAGAGACGGCAAAGCCAAGGACGGTAGTCCTCTTGGCGCGAAAAAACACTCCTTCTGTGAGTTCACCTTCTGATCTTCCGGTTTTCGAGCGTTTCTCTTCATGGCGCAAGCTCATCCGCGTGATCGCTCTAGTCTTTCGTTTCATACACAACCTCAAGCATCCTCAGGCCAAACGCACGGGTCCTTACCAGCCTGATGAGATCGACCATGCCGAGAAGACCGTTGTCAGCCAAATTCAAAGGGATGCCTTCGCCAAAGACATCGCCGATATCAGAAAGGGCTCCACCTGCTCACAACGCATTCGGCATCTAACCCCCTTTCTAGACAGCGCTGGGCTCCTAAGAGCGGGGGGACGCATTTCACAGTCTGATCTCGAAGAAAATCGGAAGCATCCAATGATCCTACCCGGTGACCATCATCTAGTAAAGAAATTCATCCAACCCACCGAAACGCCAGAGGCTCTCAAACCCTCGGCCTCGCCAGAGAAACCTGCCCACCATTCTGGAGGTTCCACTCCCGCCCTTCGCCAGCCAAAGGGACATGGCAACCCAAACAGAGCCGATCCCAGCACCCTCCAAGCCAGTTGAGACAGCTAGCGAGCCAGCTAGCAAGCCAGCCGAAACTCCACAGCCCAAGGCAACCCAGCTCAGCCTACCTACCCCGGAGACAAAGTTCTCTGAATTGGCCCCTTGGGTCCAACGCAGGATTCTCAGGGACATCCAGCGCTCCCTCTCCAGGGCCAGTGAACGTACGGCCGAAGTTCAATCTCGTGTGGCAGTTCGGTCTTCAGTTGTGTAGATTTAAGTTAGATTAAGAATTTAGGCTAAGACACAGCTGTGATATCCTTTTAAGTTCCTTTTTCCTTTTTTTACAAGGGACATTTTTTTTTTGTTTTTCTCAAGAAGATTGTGATCTCATTTGTCAATCAAAGACTGATTTTTCGTTGTTTTTACTTTAATAGAGCTTTATCATCACCTACCCACTTGTCTCCTGAGTATTTCTTGAACCCTTCCTCCGGAATGCTTCAACGGGGGGACTATGTTCGCGCCCAAGATCTGGGCCCGATCAGATTCAAGGTAGATTCGGCAACC